CCCTGTCTCAAGAAACCAACAAACGAACAAACCTAACAAAGAAAAAAGAGTAAGATCGATGATAGCCCTTCCCTCACGGACTGGAGTCAGAGGGTGCAGTAAGATACCATATTTGAAGTGTGAGGCGTGTGGTCCTGTGCACCGGGACCTCTAATACAGGTGCTGTGACCATTGTCATCATCATCCCTTTGGGGTCATAAGTCCTCTCATCCTGTGCGAATCGACTATTAGGACCTTGTAATCTACCCGGAAGGGTCTATAAACTCGCATTTACTGAATACAGGCACACAACTAAAGGAATACATTTCCAATTTCTAACTCAAAGTACAACAACCTAATTAGAAACCTCATGCATGTAATCCCAGCTACTTGGGAGGCTGAGGCAGGAGGATCACGAGTTTAAGGCCAACCTGAACTAAATATAAAGTTCAAGGCCGGCCTAGACTGCATAGCAAGACCCAATTTTAGAGAATAAATGAAAAGAAAAACTTTCATGATGGAAAACTATTAAACTATAGGAATGTTCTATAGGATGACACTGAATTACACACACACAAAATTGAGCCAGGCATAGTGGCTCAGGCCTGTAATCCCAGCACTCAGGAGGTTGAGACAGCAGGATGGTGAGTTCAAGACCAGCCTGGGCTGCATAGGGAAACCCTGTCTCAAAAAGACAAAAACAAAACAAACAAACAAAAAATCAAGTGCTGTGCTCTCTTCAGTAGCACATATACTAAAAAAAAAAAAAGAAAGCTTGTGGCCTGATGAATGTAATCACCTCATACTATAAACACACACTAAGAAAGTAACTTTTTGTTTTGGAGACAGGGTCTCACTATGCAGTACAGGCTGGGCTTCAATTCACACTGATCCTCCTGTCTCCACCTTCCAAGTGCTGGTCATCTGAGAGAAGAACTGCTGTATCTTCCCAGAAGAACCCATCCCCAAGGAGCTGCAGCCTTTGCTGGCGTAGAGATTGTGTCTGGGCCCCTGGGCAATGGCTTGGCTCTGTGGATTTTCTGCTTCCATCTCAAATCCGGGAAACCCAGATGTGCGCCACCACACCCGGCTTTCACTTGTTTTTGAGACAGGGTCTTGCTGTGTAGTTCGGGATGGCCTTGAACTTGCTGCAATCCTCCTGCCTCAGCCTCCTAAGTGCTGAGATTACAGATATGCGCCACCACATCTGGCATCCCCCAGCCCAGCATTTTGTCCTTTTCTTTTCCTTTTTTTTTTTTAACATTCTTTTCTAACTAAAGACTGCAGAGTTCAGTGTAGAAAAGCAACCCATGTTTGCACAGAGAGGTGGGGCTCAGGAAAAGGGCTCAGGTTCTCTTAAAATGAGCAAGGGCTCTCTTCTTAGGCTTTCCAGAGCAATTACCCGCATGCTCTTCGTTTCGTCTGTCAGCTGCACGCTAACGTTTATGCTACTCCTTAAGAGTTTCTGGAAGACCATGCTGTTGAGTGTAGCACTGCTATTATTGCCACGGTGCACTTGGTAATTATGTCAGTCAAGCGAGTGACAGCAAGCTCCATCCGCCAGCACTACGCCCTTCATCAGGAGCACACACACGGCTTTCCCGAAGGGATGTCCCCCCGAGGTTAGCAGCTTGTAAATGACAGTCTGCCTGCTCAAACCTATCCTTTACATTTAGAAAAATCGGTGAGTTCCTGTCTGCACAGGGGATTTTATTGCTTGTTTATGCAAACAGCAGGTTGCATAAGAGCCTCGCTGCTTTTTTTTTTCCAAGTGATTTCGTAGTTTCCTGGTAACCATTCAGTCATCTATTTCAACACCCCAATGACATAAAGTCAGGGCTGAACCACAGGTTCGCCACACTGCCAGCCTCTCTCCGAGCACCGGGAGGCGCGGCGCCCTGGCACGGCCCGGCCCGGCCCGGCCCACCATGGGAGCCCAGGAGCACTTTCTGGTCATCCGCGGGAAGAACTGCTGTATCTTTCCAGAAGAAACCATCGCCACGGTGCTGCCGCCCGTGCTGGCGCTGGAGTTCGTGTTCGGGCTCCTGGGCAACGGCCTGGCCCTGTGGATTTTCTGCTTCCATCTCAAATCCTGGAAGTCCAGCCGGATTTTCCTGTTCAACCTGGCCGTGGCTGACTTCCTCCTGATCATCTGTCTGCCCTTCCTGACGGACAACTACGTGAAGAAGTGGGACTGGAAGTTCGGGGACGCCGCGTGCCGGCTCATGCTCTTCATGCTGGCCATGAACCGGCAGGGCAGCATCATCTTCCTCACGGTGGTGGCCGTGGACAGGTACTTCCGCGTGGTGCACCCCCACCACGCGCTGAACAAGATCTCCAACCGCACGGCGGCCGTCATCTCCGGCCTGCTGTGGGGCGTCACCATCGCCCTCACGGTTCACCTCCTGTACACCCGGATGCTGGTCCCCTACGGCTCCGCCAACCTGTGCAGCAGCCTCAGCATCTGCAACACCTTCCAGTGGCACGATGCCATGTTCCTCCTGGAGTTCTTCCTGCCCCTCAGCATCATCCTCTTCTGCTCGGCCAGGATCGTCTGGAGCCTGCGGCAGCGGCAGATGGACAGGCACGCCAAGATCAAGAGGGCCATCCGCTTCATCGTGGTGGTGGCCATCGTCTTCGTGGTCTGCTTCCTGCCCAGCGTGGCCGTGCGGATCCGCGTCTTCTGGCTGCTGTACACCTCAGGCACGCGGAACTGCGCCATGTACCGCTCGGTGGACCTGGCGTTTTTCATCACGCTCAGCTTCACCTACATGAACAGCATGCTGGACCCCGTGGTGTACTACTTCTCCAGCCCGTCCTTCCCCAACTTCTTCTCCGCGCTCATCAACCGCTGCCTGCGGAGGACGCCGCCCGGGGACCCGGATAACAACAACCGCAGCACAAGCGTGGAGCTCACGGAGGATCGCGGCGGCAGCAGAGGCGCCCCGGATGCGCTGATGGCCAAGCCCAGCGAGCCCTAGAGCCCCTCGTGCCTGGCCCCGAGCTCGGGCGCAATAACTGGGCTCTGGAGGGAGACCCTCCCCCGGAAGCGGGATCTCTGCAGAAACGCACGGTAACATCCTTGGACTTGGCCTGCGGTTGTCTGGAACTTCCAGATTCAGAGAAGTGGGTTTAGACAGACAGCGGGGCAGAGGGGCCCCTGGGCTGCGAACTGCGACCACAGAGATCTCGGAGGAACGAGCAGAGAGCAAGGTTTCCAGACAGCGGAAGCTTCTGCTTCCACTCGGACGCCTGCAGCCCGCAGGACGAACAAACCGCCCACCTTTGCGCCTGGCAGTCAGAGCCGCGGCTCCCCACTTCAGCGCCTGCGCTGCGTGGCTTCTTCCTGCCCCTGCCTGAGGCGTGGGTGAGCCTCAGCTCCCAGGGCGCCGTCGAGCCCGTCTGCGGCCCAGCAGGGACAAGAGAGCCTAGAACGGGGGAGAATCACGCGGTCCTGGGGGGCGCCCGGGAGCCTCTAGAAGCCAGGAGTCGCCTGGGTCTCAGGGCCCAATTCACCTCCCGGCCCTGCGCCGCCCGCAGAAATGGCCAGGGCGGAGACATCCGTAAGGTTTGGGGGACACCCGAGTTCCCCGTGGTGGCGAGAAAGGGGGTCAGCCCCGGGGGAGGGCTGAGCTGACCAGTGTTCAGGGACAGCACTGGCCCTAGAGCTGCAACCCGGGACCCATCCGATCCGGCTTGTTTACACTCTGCCCAGGGCAGGTAAAAAGCTTCAGGGGAGAGCGCCGCTCCCCCACTGTTTGCCGTGATCAGGAGGACAGAATGTGGTGCTGGCCCGATGGGTCCCTACCGGGAGCACTGCCTCCCGCTCATTCGCCTGTGGTTTTGTTCTTACAATAAATCTACTCTTTCAATAAATTTTGACAGGAGACACAGCGTGGCGTTGCGCCCGTCTGGGTGAGGGTTCACCGAGCGGCCGGGCGTCTTACTCAAGCGGAGACCTTTATGGGCTGTCAACTATGTCCTGGTGGGAAATTCTGGGCCCTGCAGCTGAGGCAGGGGGTGTCCTGAGGCAGAGATCACACGTGTCGGGCGGGGAAGGGCTGAATAAAGAAGAATTACATTCAGGAGGGCGGGACAGGTAGGACTGCAAGAACGGCGCGCATTTTATTTAAAGCAGGGTGAGCCCGGCTCTTAGGATTTGTGTATGAAAAGGGAAATTTTTCTAAAAAGGAAAAAGAAAAGAGGAATCCGACCAGAGCGGACCCTGCCGAGGTGGAGGAAGAGTTTCCGGGGCGGTTTTTAGTCCTCAGCCCCCAGCGGAAAGGAGATGTCCTGGTGTCTGTTACCCTTTCGTCTCAAGGCACGGTCACTCTTCCTTCCCTGCAAGCCGAGGCGCGCTGCCGCCTCCCGCCCGGGACACTGCAGTCTGGAGGTCCTGGCCCCGGGCCTGCGTGCGGAGCAAGGAGGTCTCCTCGGTGCTTCCGAGCTTCTCAGCTCCGGATCCCCAGAGGCGGCGAGGACGGAGTCGCGTCCCCTCCTCGAGGAAGAGGCGGCGATGAGCTCGCAGGGCAGGGATTTCCCCACGCCGGAGGCTGAGTCAGCGGGGCGCCCTGGGAAACCAGGACTCGCTCAGGGCGTGGCGCTGCGCTCGCCCCGCGCCGGTTCCCCCAGGTGCTCCGGACGCAGCAGCTGCGAGGGGCTCGGCGCTGCGCCGCGCTCTGGCCAGGAGGAAGGCAGGCAGGCAGGCAGGCAGGGCGAGGACCACCGGGTCCTCCCGCTCCTCTCCCGCGACACGCAGGCGGGCGGTGGAGGGAGGATTCGGCCCATGTGCGTGCGGGTCTGCTCGGGCCGCAGGAATGAGGCCTCCCACGGTCCGGAGGCCGGAAGTCCAAAGCCACGCTGTTGGAAGGCTTGGTTCCTTCTGGAGGTTTTTGATTTTGTTTTTTATCCAGGACTGGGGATTGAACCCAGGGCTTTTGCACAGAGCTGCACCCCCAGTCTTTTATACTTTTTAAATTTGTATTTTATTTTATGTATTTATTTATTTAGAGACAAGGTCTTGCTATGCAGTTCAGGCTGGCCTGGAATCCACCACATAGCCCAGGCAGGTGTGGAACTCACAGTGATCCTCCTGCCTCAGCCTCCCAGAGTGCAGGGGTTAGGGTATGTGCCACCACGCCCAGCCTTCTGCATCTGTCACAGGCCTCCTCCAAGTGTCTGACTGTCACCCATCTCTGGCATTTCTTGGCCCGTGCACTGGTCACTCCCATGTCTGCTTCCACCCTCACTCAGCCTGCTTTGCTCGTATCTCTGTCCCCTCCTTTGTCCCTTTTTTTTTTTTTTTTTTTTTTTTTTCTTTTTCTACATTGCCCAGGAACGACTCTAACGTTTTGTCCTTTTGAGACAGGGTCTTGCTACCCAGTTCAGGCTGGCCTTGAGCTCACTTTGTAGCCCAGGCTGGTCTTAAACTCATAACAATCCTCCTGTCTCAGCCTCCCAAGTGCTGGGACTACAGTGTGCGCCACGAGGCCCAGCCAACTCCTCTGTCTCTAAAGACACTTGTCACTCGGCTTAGGACCCCCTGTACCCCAGGGTGACTACATCTTACTCCATCTGCAGAGACCCTTATCCCCAGGAACGTTACGCTGTGAGCTTTGGGGTGACCATCCCTTGCAGCGACTACAATTCAACCTTCTGCGAGAGGGACAATGCAGAGGCCAGTGTGACTGGCACAGGGAGTGTGGGGCCAGCCACACAGTGAGGTAAAAAACTCTGTGGTCTGAGAACAATGAAAGACTTGAAAAACAGATCACATTACGCTAAACAGAGAAGAGTCCCAGACACAGCAGGAGCTCAACTCTCTCTTGAAATACACACATCAGACAGGCCTGGTGGCATAGGCATGTAATCCCAGCACTCTGGAGGCTGAGGCACAAGAATTACCGTGAGTTCAAAGCCAGCCTCCATTACATAGTGAGACCCTGTCTCCAAAAAAAAAAACAACATAAAGTACACACATCTGAGCTGGGTGTGGCTGCACACAGTATGCTAGCACCACTCAGGAAGCTGAGGCAGGAGGATTCCCATGGGTCTGAGGCCAACCTGGAGTACATAGTGAGTTCAAGGCCAGCCTGAACTATGTTCAGGCCTTGTCTTTAAATAAATCACAAATACACAAATATGCACCTATGTGTATAATGTGTGCATGAAACAAGAGACTATCAGACAAACACCAAAGGCTCAGTGATTAGTCCTGGGAGGTGATTTTCATTTTCGTTCTGGGATTTTCCTTCTTTTCCAAATCATCAGCAGTGAGTAATGGTAACTATTAATAAAGACAGGCTGCTGGGAAGAAATACCACATTTAGTTACCATCAGCATCCCTGATTATCAACAGCAGTTTTTAAGAGTTGTAAACACTTCTGCTTCCTGTCCAAGGTGCATGAGGATGGGACCAGGCCTGGCTGGAGCGCAGTGGAAGAGCACTTACCCAGCATGCACCAGGCCCGGGTTCCACCCTCAGCACCATGAATGGATGAATGAGAATGCAAACGAGGCCACACTGGACTAAACCATCGGTTTGTTCACTGCGTCTCAAACTCGGTGTGTAGGGAGGAGATGGCAACAGAGAGACAGAGAGAGACACAGAGAGACCGGCCATCCTCTGTAGCCATGGCCCTACATCCCTGTGAGCCGGGACCAGGATCCTCTCAGGCAGGAAGGACAGCGGCCCCACGGTGCGGAATGAACTGATGGCCCACTTGTGACACCCCGCTGAACGGAGCCGGCCTGGTGCCGCTGGGTGGGGAGGGCCCACCTGAGGATTGCCGCCAACAGTGTCAAGGAGAAGTGGAGGGGAAGATGGTGCTGTGATCCTCCTGGAGAAGCTCGTCACGCCGGCTTTCCTGTTCTCATTGTCGGAGGAGCTCAGGTCCGGCTGAGGGTGGCTGTGGGTCTCTCGGGGGGAGCTCTGGCCCTCACTCTGAGCATCGCCTCCTGGCTCCAGCACAGATCTCTCGGCCTGCTGGCACCGATCTTCATCCCCTGGCGCAGACTTCATAGCTTCTGACCTTTGGGCCCCCGGCGCAGACCCGTGAAACAGGCCTGCATGAGACACGGTTGTGGGGTCTAGGCCTCCGGTTGGACTCGTGGGGGACACTGCCATGGGCTGTAGGTCTTCAACTGGACTCGTGCAGGACATTGCTGGGGGACCCCTGTAGGGGGTCCTGAGCTGGATTCTGTGGGTCTGTGGTGTGTGTGGACAGATTTCCTGCGCTCTTTTTGTGTTTGACTCTTTGGATGATTATAAAATAATCTTATAAATTATGTGTCCTGTATTCAATTTACTCCCTTCTGAACCCTGACAACAACACCCACCAGCTGCGTTGGGGACTCACAGACGTATCTGCCGGGTTCCCTCTGGGGCCTCCCCAGAGCAGGACGGGCCGGCCCTGGGCCCAGAGGTGGTGCACCCTGCATGGGCACTGTGTGGACACTGCCTAGGTTGGACCCTGAAAAGCACATGGTCTCTTAGGGGTGGAGATCTTATCACTCCCACAACAGCCTGAAAACACTTAGGCAAAGAGCTCCCAGGGACTTCCCACTCGGGATGCCTCCGGGCCAACAGGAGCCCTACTTCCGTGCCTTTATAGCTTTTAAATAGACTTGCCCCCACCACCACCACTTTATACTGAGCTATATCCCAACCCACGTTTTTCTTTTTTCTCCAGTCAGATTTTATTGGTACTTTTTTGTTGGTACCGGGAATCAAACTCAGGACCTTG